CAGCTGACCAGTCTAAAAGAGGGTTGAGACATTTTGGCAGGGAATGGTAACTCACTCGTACAGCACCTGTTCTGTGAATAATATAATTTAGCTTCCAGGCTGCCAAATGCTTGGCAGCATTAAAACCAATTAAAATGAAAAATGCTTCATATTATAATCTGAAAAATGTCAAACAAAATTCTTTTCATTGCTTCAAGCTCAAGTTTCATATGGCATTAGTGTAACTCAAGTGTACTTTCCAAGTTTGACTCCACTGGAACTTGCTCTACAGTCTGTAGAGTTTGTCATTGCTTGAGTCTAATATCTCTCATTTGTATACACCTCCAGACATCTGCCATTCCGTTAGATCACAGACCCATACCAGATTAACAGAGAAAACATTGCCTTTCAGCCAAAACCCCCCAACATTTAAGGGTTTACAATATGAAAATCTGGGATGATTTCTAGGCTGATTGCTAATGAGCGGTGAAAACTTCAAAGCCTGCTTCTCCAGAAGAGACCAGCACTGCAAATGCTGTGTCTGCGACATAATTTGCTTGCTCTCCCATCAGCCAACTTCTACCTGATTTTATTACAGAGCAACAAAAGTTTCTTTTAAAATACACAGGTTTTCAGCCATCGGACATGCATTTAGTAGATGACTTGTAGTTACACTGCGGTCAGTAATTTGGCACTCTCCTTTTCCTTTCCTTGTTCATCATCACTTCTATCATGACTTGCTTATTTAGGAAATGTTCATGTTGCCAGATGGTTGTAACCAAGTAAATCAGCACTCTGATGTTCAATTTTGGTTTTACCTTCACTTCTCCACAGACCTCACAGTATTTTCCCTTTTCAGACCTAGCTTTCCTAATCATCTAAAATCAAGAGTCCAGATTGTCTTTCACTGCTGAGCTTCACCATAAACCTGTACAGATTTCATAAACCTGATAATCTTAAAGAATATGCAACCAACTCAGCTATTAAATCATTCATGAGTTATACAAGTCCACGGGAATATTGTGTCTTGATCACTTTAAGAATTTCCCCCTGTATATGGGATAACTGCCTCTGAAGCAGATTTTTTATCACTGGCAGAAGCCTGCCTTTAAGTAGGTTAGTTACCATCAGCTGAAGCCCGAGACGATCATTGCCTTTAGACCAAAAATAGGAATACTCAAACCCACCTTTAAAAAGGTCAGTTCAAATGACTTTAGTAGATACAGTCACATACTCGCTTTCCTGAATTACACCACCACACTACAACAGGATATCTAAGACTTTTACAAGTTCCAATTTTTTGTGAGATGTAAAGTTTCAAGTTCTTCATCTCTATGAAACTGCTTAAAAAATTGCCCCTTTGTCAAACTTAAGAAGCATTCTTTCCCCTTCATGTGTGAATCTGTGGTTTGTGAAGGAAGCACGGCCTTTCAGCTGATGAAAAAGATCAAGTCTCACTCTCTTCTCTTTGACTCCAGTGATATTCCCAGTCTTCCCTTTACAACGACACTTCTGCAATCACAAGCTGAGCCGCGTCAGGGAGCTGTTCTAGCTTCAAACTAATTACTTTCTTTTGATGTAAGGAGGAGAAAGACAAGCAGAACTATAGCAGCATGGGTTTAAAATGGTTTAAATTACCATTTAACCACACCTCAACTCTGCCAGAGATCTAGCAGCAGATGAACCAACAAGTGCAGTTAAAATATTTCTTAAGTATTTCTCAGGCTCTTCCTCATGAGACTGACATCAAACATACGAATATAAATTCCCACACACTCTGGAACGCACATTCACATTAAAGTTAATTCCTTCACTGAAAATTCTGTGTACTTTCCATTATACTCTGCCAGATGTAGGCAGATTTGAGAATTCCCCTCTCTTTGAGTTTGCTGTATAAAAGTCAGTATCACCACACACCAGGCAATCTGCAGACAGAGTTTTTCTGCCAAGCCTGTATGTACACAGATTTGTATACTAGTTTAAATAGCATGGATGAGAGTCAAGGATCAATTTGCAAATTGAACTACCAGGTCTTGGCAAGAACTGCAGCAGCAGCAGCTAATTTCTTTTAATTGAACAGGCCATATTAAGATATTGGAATGACTCCATCGCAGTCTTAAATCCAAGCTGTGTTTTGCAGAAGTGGCATTTAATCAAATATTAGTTGACTTTATTACAAACTCTGTTTTGGTTTGGTTAGCAAATTAAATAATTGCATGCCATCTACTAAGACAATTCCCTTGAATTACAAGGCTGCAATAGAAAAGTTCAGACCTGACCTCTCCCTTCCCAGTTACTATAGCCTTACAATTAATATTCTGACAAACACAAAGAAGAGCTTAGTTTGAGCTTTTTCCTGATCACACCTTCTTCTAAAGAGCTGTTTGCCAAGTGGTAAGGAAACTGGTCTTAACATGAAATGCGACCCTGGAGCAAATCCAAAGCCAATAAATCATGCAAGAGGGAAGTGAAGGTGCTAGAACGCTACCAGGACACGCAAGTATGGACAGAGACCTACAAGATGGCTTAACAAGGTGGCAAGAAGTAAAGGAAATGGCAGTAGCATGGAAATCCAGTGACAAAACCAGGAGGTGTTCTGAAGGGCTTTCTGGTCTGCCTCGGTAAGGAAACGAGCCTGCAACAGGCTTCCCTCTGCTAAACCGGGATGCACATCTTCAATGTGAAAAGATACAGGTTTCTTAAGTTAAAAGATGCTGTAAATCACAGTTATAGACACCAGTGACAATAACAGGGGCTACTGCTTTCCTCTGACTGCCAGTCAGTTCTGCCTGTCCCCTACTAGTCTTTAACACTGGATTTTGGTCCCTCTCCTACCCTTTTGCCCTACATGGATCCCTAGCTGTGCACTTCTTTTAACTGTATTATCAATTAAATGCTTTTAAGCCCAGACCAGCAAAGTTAATTTTCCAATCCAGCTAATGCTATTTTTAGTTCTGGGCTGCCGTCTGTGCCAGTCTGTACTTACTTGAGAAGCTTTTCAAAGGCATCCAGGAAGTCTTCACTTGTCATCAAGACACAAAAAATACTCCTCCTGATATCGGTGTTCATTCTCTGCTTACGAGCAAGCTCCAGTATCTTTGAACTCACCTGAAAAAAAAAAAAAAAAAAAAAAAAAAAAAGAAAATCAACCTGCTGTTTTATTTATGCTTGCTTTAAGAAAGCTAATTCTGTGCAGTCTCTAATAAGACCACTAATGAAGATCTCCAGTAAACTATGAAGCACCAATCCAAAGGTCCTGAGCTTTCATCCAGAGACATAGGCATCATCAGGAGCTTTTTCAACTAGGGAAATATATTTTTATGTATTTTAATCGTGCCACTTGTTTTTAAGACACGCTTCTCTAATAAAACTCACCATGACCATCTCACTACACTACTTTTAGAATCAGCTTAGATAACGTGCCACCCACGGACAGACAACACTACCTGTCAGAATTCATACCAGCAAATCCACTTTAGGTTGTCTCTTATTTCACTTACATAACAAGTTACTTTTGCAGTTCCACAAGATAAGAAGAAAAAACAAGCTGTATCGTAATATTTGTAGTAACACCTCTTATGAAGTGTGCAAGTACAACGTTTTGAAAAATGTAAGAGCAGAATTTACAGTCCAAAAAGCTTAGTCTTACAAGAGTCCGTGAAGGTTTTTTTGGTAGGCTCTGAAATGAACTTACTCACTTGTATGAAGAATATTCAAAAGATCACAAACACTTAAGACTTCTAACCAGCACTGCTTGGATTTACCTTTCCTATATGTGGTTTTTGCTGAGTCTTGCTGTTTGCATCGTTGATCATTGGTGTTCCACTCCAGGATGACCCTACGATCCACCAGCGACCAACCTGATCAGCACTGAGGAGAGATTCCAGGGAGACACGGAGCTGAGTTTCTTTTCCTGAACTACTGCTGTGAACCTTGAATAATAAAATACAAAAATACCCAAAAGCTTTTATTGGAAGCTTTCTTTAAAAAACAAACAAGCCAACAAATACCTTAATTACTTAAAATTCCTTTAAAACAAATAACTTAATCTCCATAAAGGTCTTCACATTCCCCCCCCCAACCTTCAGTTTCAGTCAGCAGCCTGAAAACAATTTCCAAGTTTCTCATATGCTCTAACCTCTCAAATACAAGAAGTTGCTTAAATCTACATTCAGAAGCTCTTGATTTTTCTTTATTTTAAAGGAAGAGACAATCAATTAAAAAGTAGCCATCTTCCAATCATAAAAATTGATAAGAATTCAGACCTGACATTGAAAAATCAGTTGCAGCATCTTACAGTCTGTTCACAATTTTCCTTTTGAGCACTTGTGATAATAAAATGACATGACAAGCTGCCTAAAATTTTGTACAATTCAAACAAAAAGTTTAAACTCTTTGAACAAAATAAGAATTTTCAACAAAAGAGGCTAGAAGCGTACTACGAGGACTGCAAAAGTTTAAAAGGGAATTTACAGAACCAGGCTACCTAGCTTATTTTTGCCTGTCCTACTATCACTGATGCGCAGTGCATCCTGCACTTAAAAACTTCTGACAAATAAGATTCTCTAGGTGTTAGAGAGAAGTAGTGTAATTTTCAGATTGGAGATACAGGGATTCTGAAATCAGAGTAAAGTCTTGTGAGAATCCATTAGTTCTCAATCCAAAGTGACAATTACCTTCATGCCTTTTATACTGGGTTGTGCTAGACAAACTGCCCTCTCTCTGCCAAAAAAAAAACCCAAACCAAAACCAAGAAAGAAAAAACATCCAGGTTTTCAGAAGTGTTAGACTTCCAAAATAACTCTGGTAAAGTTAGGAGCGGGTGCCTGCGTCCAAAATCTATGGAAAAATGAACTCGTAATAATGACTCAGTTCTTCTGCACAATCATTAAACATCCCACAGTCTCTTTTTCAAGTATAGGACTTTGAGGCAAAGTCTTTGGCTAAGCATTATGTCCTTTCTCAAACTGTTCTGCAGAAGGCTAGTTGACTGCTGACTAAACTTGGACACAGGAGATAATACTTAATGATCTAAGAAGTGATTTTTGTCCACAGGAGTTTCAGACTGTTAAATGAATTAAAAAATACTATAGCCCATCAAGCCCATGTATAATACAAACAATTACTTCTGGTTTAAGCACAGCTATACTACATGTGTCAAGAAAGTTCTCACCAGTGTTCGTTGCAATTTGCGGAGTTTTTCAACCGGTTCAGGATCATAACCAGGAATCTTACGCATGTCATTGTTTCTTAGTGCCAACATCGTGTCTAGCATAAAGCGAACCTATTGGGGAAAGAAATATTTCTGTGGATTATGTGCTGTGAGGTTTTTTATTAAAGTAGAGAGTGTACTTTGAAATTACTGTTTTGTGAGAATAAGCAGCTCCGCTGGCAATATACATCAAAATTTAGATTACATGGGTACCAATACAGAGAAGGATGTGTACTTTAACTGCTATCCTATTTGTGTTCAAGCTCCAATTCAAAGCTTAATCTGCTAAACATCGTGCCTCAGTGGCCATTTTTTAAAGTGTATAAAGTATCACAAAACAGAAACACTGTCCATTGCATAAGACACAAAACAGTCCTAGTCTCAACCATTACAAGCATTTTGGTGTCTGTCTCCTAAGAATTAACGAAGAAAGACAAACGCAAATAACTGAATGCACAACTGAAAACTAATGGTAACTTACAGAGTGTAGCAGAAAATATTTTTGTAAACTAACACACGTATCCAAGTGCTTATTAAAGTCTATTCAGAACAGAAGATGTTTTAAAACACACACACATACCCTAGTCTGGTCCTGGAGTTTCTTCTCTGCTGTGTTTGCTTTCCTCTGGGCTTCAGTGATCAGTTCCTTCAAAGCCAACGCATCATCTTTTCTTAAGGAAAAGCCCACGTTTTTCAGAAGAAACAAAATCAACTCAATCTCTTTTTCAGTGAAAGTGCTAACAAGCTTTTTCAGAATATCAAAGATCAGCAGGGAATGAACCACATGGAAGTTATACAGATGAGCAATCAAGGCAAGCAGATTTTCACATTCTTTCCCTTCAGCATCACTTTTACAGAGTTCATCAAATTTCTTCACCACAGCTTCCAAAAAGTGAGCACCGACCTGGCAATAGTTCCATTAAGGAAGGGAAAAAAAAAAAAATCCAGCAGTTAACTGTAAGTAGGTTTTACAGACATCTGTAATACATTCATTTTTGGTGCACTGCCACTATTAATTTTAAAGAAATATTGTTGCTCCTCTCAACCAGTATGGATGTTCTACATTTACGTATACAAATATCTAAGTGGTGTGGCATTTTCTTAAAGTATATGTTATTTACACCTCATATACGCCATCCAGTTGCCTTTTAACGTCTGTGCAAGAAAAGCAAATGTTATGAACTTACAGTACACATACATCAGACTTTGTTTACGTTTACATAATTTTCATGGACACATATCAGCATCTTCCCAGCTGACAGGCGAGCATGCTGTTACTGCTAGTCATTCATCTAGTAAAAGCTGCGTGTCAAAAACCAAATGCATCAGAGAGGTCAGTATTCCACAACAAAATCCTTAACAGGAGAGTAAAAAATAATACTGTAAAACAACCCCCAATATACCACATTTTCACAGTTGCTGAGCATAAGCTTAGGCTAATTTTGAAGTGGGGATAAGTCTTAGCCACTTGGGAAAAAAAATTTGGAATCTATATATTTGTGAAGAGAGAACTGATGCTAAAGACTGGAATTAGAAAGCATACCAAAATGTAGCTAGGTAATGAACAAAAAAAAAATCCCAGTAGCAGTACTGACTGGCATTGCAGCCTTGACCAGCTTAGGTTTGATCCAATGCTCATATTGCACAAACGTATAAACACAGTTATTGGAATCCCAACTCCTGAATTGCTCAAGCTAATCTTAAATGCAGTTGTGCAATCACACTTTTGTGTAATGCATATTCTACATTTATTTTACAGAAAAAACAATGGGGCTTTATCGTACACTTAAATATTACAGTCTTAAATTCAAAGATGCTGTCTAACAGAGTCAGTAGTACAGAAGACAGTCTGGATATCATCTACCTATTTCTAATACCTATTATATCTGTATCTAAAACCTATTACTAGGTATTTTGCAAAGTTTCAACTTCTAAAAAGATTGTGTTTCTCTTCTTAAACAAACATTGTAATATAATGTTATATTTGCAGTCAGAACTGCCTTTCAAGCAGCAAAGAGGAACAAAAAAAAAAGTTTAATGGCAAGTATGTATGGAGAAAGCTGTTGTCACCCATCTGATAAGCAACAGACTTGGTCCCTTTCACTTGTGGACACCTAGCAAATAAGCTACAAATACTGATGAAATTCAACTGGAGCTGCTTTTTAGTGATACACAATCAAAACTTAAAATGCAATTCAAACAAAATATCAAGGAAAACACTCTACAATATGTATTATTAAACAAAATTAGTCACAACACAAGAATTACCTCAATTCCTATGTTATGATGAAGAACGCTGACCAAAAGGACATGCTCCATCATCAATCTTGCAGGCATGGCAATTGCAGTAACACAAGCATTCATGAGAATATCTGTCAGAGTTTCATTCATGTCCTTTCTGCTGTTGGCCATGTAAAGCTCTTCCATCTGTCCACTAATAGAGGACAAATTCGGTTCACTCAACCTATTGAGAAACAAAATTCAATGTTCACTTTTTCTTCTTTTTACACAGTTCCACAATTTTCAATTTACCCAACAAAAAACCTATTTTTTTGAGAGAAACTAGCTTGACTTAAGAAGAAAGACTGAAAAGATGACTGGAAGGGACCTTTTGTATTTTGTTGTGTTCACGAAACTAAAAAACGTAACAAATGTTTAATTATTATTTTTTTTTTTAATATTTTCATGTAAAAACAGACTGGCAGCAGTATTTACAAAGCACTGTCAACATGCTTACTGTCACACCAAATGGACATTAAGATGACAGACTTTGCTCTTAGCAGTTGTAACTATGGCACATCACAGTCTTTGAGAGAAATTGTGAAAATACCTCATACTTTTCTAACATATAAGGTATATCAAATTCTAAATGACTGAACAAACTGCATACTGTAGTCTGCATTTTACAGATAAAAGAAAATGCCAATAGATTTCTTATTTTAAAAATACTGCAAAATTAAAACGTGTGAAAGCGTTAATTACTTTTTCTGTTCTTCAGTACTTTAAACTATGAAGCGTTGCTCCTCCTCAGTTGCAGTGTTGGAGAAATTTAATTTTTTTTTTAATTAAAAAAAGAAAATCATGCTTTTGAGGGGGAGATATAACTCACACTATGAGGTTTTTTTTATAGCCATACTCGGACTGACACTTAGTGATTTATACCTAGCACTTGCAGGCTACTGCTGTGTGGAATTCAGCCCAATCTTAAATTTATTTTCTAGATTTTTCGACTTCTATAACGACCAACTTTGAAGAATTTATATCAACAAAGATAATTATTATTAAGGATAGCAGACATGATTGCCAACTTAAAATCAGTTTGTGAAGGGAAAAGTCACATCCTTGCCACTTTTCTTTGAATGATGAGCACTGTCAGATCAAACCAGAAAGATTAATGACTTTCCTTATTATATTACCTATTAATGAGACCATTCACCATTTTCTTCAGTCTTCCCAATTCTTCTCTTTTCTTCTCATCTAGCGTCTCCTGAGCTTTCCTTACTTGAGGTGGAACATACTTCGTAGCACTGTGATTATGACTCTAACCAGGAAAACAATAAAATAAGATACCAAATGAGACTAGTATCTTAAATATTTGAACACAAATATATGTTTCTATTTAATATACCAAACTTTTAGTGAAGTATATATTTTACCACCTAATAACTAATGCCAAAGGAACAACTTCATACAGAAAGGAAGCATGACGAACAATGCGATGGCAGCAAACCCCCTCTTCCCTTTACATGAAATTTCCTTTTAAGTTATTGTTATTAAAACCTGACACCTTAGGTCTTGTTTTTAATCCAGGTTTTATCAGCTGCAGACATACTAACAGTTTAAGTTAGCGCCACACGGGCTAAATGACCTGTGTGGCCTCCTCTCCTCCACCCATGCTACAAGTCCTAACACAGGCAGAACCTCTGGGATCATCCAGAAAAAGTTAACACTTCAGTTTGCAACAGATACTAATTTTAACATAAGCTCTTTCTACTCTTGGCAGAAGTGCTTCATCACATTCTTACACTCTAAAGCTGTGGCAGTTTTATTTGCTGATCTTGCATGCAGAGACAAGGCCACACGCCTTGTGCTTTGGGGTGTTACCTGCCAGCATCCTGACTTGGGGGAGCTCTACCTTCCCCGCCAAGGAGCTGCCCGAGGAGTTGGCAGGGCTCCCGCCACCGCTGCTGGGCCCGGCGCTGGACACCGCGTGGCCTGACTAGCCAGCGACCTGTGCTTTACAGAGGCGACGTAAACTCTGCTTTATGTTCAGGTTGCAGCGGGTCCTTCGAGAAACGGGTTTGCGTTATCTGAGGCGAACACCCTACCTCCTCCACCTCCTCCTCCTCCTCCTCGCCCGGGGGCTCGCTGGCCTCAGGCACCCCGCTGTCCTCGGGGGACGAGGACGAGCTCTCGCTCTCCCACCGTCCTTCCTCATCATCCTCCTCGGAGGGGTCTGAGGCGTCCTCCGGCTCCTCCTCCCGATCCTCCTCGTCCTCCTCCCGCGGCCCCGGCTGGCTCTCCCGCGGCGCCGGGGCCTCCTCGTCGTCGCTGCTCTCGCAGAGCCTGCTGAGGCCGGCCCGGGAGCCCAG